AAATAATTTATTCTGCTCGTATTCTTTCTTTTCCATCTGCACTTGTCTTTTCGCTGTTTCTCCACTATATTAGGAAGCAATTTCTTTCACAGCCTACTTTCAAACGCTACAGAGAAAGAAATTAGCCTAGCAGGGGGCTTTTAAATTGGAACTGGCCACTACTTGGAAACTTTCAAAGCATTCGGCTGAAAAGTTTTTAAAAAAACAAAAATCTCGAAGCAGGGCAAACTACTTCCATATTATTGCCAGGAAAACATGAAACTATCCAGGTTGAACCAGAAGTTGAGCTGGTCTTATGAGAACGTACCTAAAGCAGGTGCAAACACATCTGGAATAGAAGATAAATAATAAGAGAGAAAATCTGGAGTCGAAGGAGAATGTAAAGCATCCCAAATGCATATTTGGCTGTATTTGCACATTGTTACCAATGATTAATGGAACTGTGCCTTTCTTAACCCAATATTTTGGATTGATACAATGACCACACATAGTTACACAGGATGGTTTCCTACAACATGGTAAGTTAACATGTGACTATAGGTAGATTGTGCACTTTGGCACCAAAAGATAAATTCTTCAACCATTCTTCCATTATTTTTTTCAAAGCTAATCTATTATGAACCATGATAGTGGTTTGATTATGCTAGTTCATATGTCTGGGATGCTTCAGTATGAGAAATATATTGCGCAATTACCTTTATCATTTGTGAATATTGGGCGGGTGTGTTAAACAATAATTTCTTGCATTTGTAACATCTTTTCCTCCTTCCACTTCTTTTTTCTTCCATCAATAAATGTGTTTCCTTAAATGTATTAGGGAAAGAGGGAATGGCAGTATGATATGTATTGACTGAGGACTGTAGGAACCATAAATGTTCCAGCACCTTGAAAGATTTAACACAGAAAAGTATAAAGGAAGGGGCAGCTGAAAAATGATTCAGGTGTAGGGTCTGTAATCATTTGTTTTAGGCATTGCCAGAAGATATATCTGAATCTTAGATAGACTCCAGGAGATGGTAGAGGACAGGAAGGCCTGGAGGAACGTTGTCCATGCGGTCACGATGGGTCGGACACGATTTCACAACTAACAACAACATATTTGAATCTATTTTGATTTACTGCAATTTGTTGTAGATCAGCAAAGATTCCTGCCTCCTATTTCTAATAGTGATGAAATATTTCAAACGTCTTAATTTTTATTCCATCATAGTTATCTTTTAAATAACTCAAGATGCTGAACACACCTAATAATCTTTCCTCCTCATTATTTTCCCCACAACAACAATCCTATAAAGTGAGTCAAACATAAGTGACTGGCCCAAAATCATCCAGCTGTCCTTCATGCCTAAGGTAATGCTAGAACTCACAATCTCCTGGTTTCTAATCTGGTGCCTTAATCATCAGACTAGCTGGCTGTATATCACTGAAACTAAACTGTTTGGTCTGTGTTACGTGGGATTTTTACATTAAAGTGTTATAATTGTGAAATCTACTCAGTTAACTTACCACAGAGGTAGCTAAAATACAATCCACTGGTGTCTCTCTTTTTGAGGCATGTTTCCTTACACTACTTGGTATTAACCCCCAACAATATATGGAGTATCACAGGTTGCCTATATAAAATATGCATGGACACAACTGCAGAAAATTAAACTAAACAATCCAAGCTCATTTAAATCCAAAGTTCATGTGGCTCTCTTTTATGAAAGTAACAATCAATTCTAACAGAAAAGAGTCTTATAAGTCATGGTGAGATCCACCAGATATATGGGCCTGTTTGTTAAACAGTCTTGCACAGTTTAAATAGGACCTTAAGCCATATTCTATTAAATATGCTTTACTGAATAAACCACAAGTAGCTAGGATCACATAACAGATGAAACTGTAAAATGATTTATAAATCACACTGATTGAGCTGATACAATATTCAACTTATTGCATCATATATTGATATAGTAGAAAGTGTAAATAATTTGAGATATCATAGCAAAAGCTTTCTTTAAAAAGTTCATTCTAACTTGAACCAAGGGATTTTTATAATAAAAGATGTAATAAAACTTACATACACACATGCACACATTTTTTTTTACTTGTGTATCTATTTTCTCAATTGTAGCATTATGGGTATTAATGTAAACACACTTTTCTTAATGCTTACCAATTGCCACATGCTGCTCAGAGATGCATTTTGTGATACAGTGGCTTTATACATTTGACTCATAAATATAATAAATGAATGTAGTGGTCACTTGCAATTTTGCAGCCAAGATCTGGTAGTGCTAGCCTCAGAAAAACATTTTTTATTTCTGATACTACATATGGGTCAAAAAGAATCCAATGAAGCTTTTGTTTTTTTAAAAAATAGACCAAGCTGTATCTAAGTATTTGTTCGAAGTTGAATAAATTTGTTTAGGGAAAAAAAAGACAAAAGTATGTATTTAGAATAGCTTATGAGTGTCTGTATGTAGTAGAAATTACGGCAAAAACTACTATGGCAAAATGGTGCTGTGAGTCCAATTACGTCCTTTTAACACCAATGAATGAATACGCACCCAGTATGGTAGATTTCCAATCTGTTTATTAATTTAGAAAGGTTGATTTGGAGATCGCTGCTTTTTATCCAGAAATAATTCAGAAGAACAGCAAGGTATATAGATTTTTTTTTTTCAAATAAAAGTTGAACAACAATATGTGTTCTCCAGGTGGCACACAGAAATAGCCACAAATGAATACAGTTATGACTACAATTGAGCCCCAAATTTCAGTTGCTACCATGAAACATGTGCTAAGTGAGTTTTGCACATTTACGACCTTTCTTGCCACAGTTGTTAAGTGAATCACTGCATTTAAGTTGGCAACACAGTTGCTAAGTGAATCTGCCTTCCCCATTGACTTTGCTTGTCCAAAGGTCACAAAAGGTGATCACATGACCCCAGAACACTGCAACCAACAGAAAGAAGTCAGTTGCCAAGCGTCTGAATTTTGATAACTGATCATGGGGATGCTGCAATGGTCATAAGTGTGAAAAATGGTCATAAGTCACTTTTTTCAGTGCCATTGTAATTTTGAATGGTCACTAAATCAACTGTTGTATGAGGACTACCTGTTAATGGGTTCCTAAAAGACAGCTTAACAGAGAAGGGCAGAGCCCTCAGTCTCTGGCCAAGTGTGCTAAAGCTACCAAACTAAGCAACTTAGTAAAGCAAGATTGTTGGTAAACTTCTGAAAGGGACTGGCTTAAGATTCACGATAAAACATTTTGCATCACTTTGCCATTTTGGCACAGCTTTCTCCTAATTCTCCAAATATAGTTAATGTGTCACCAAACACAAACTTTACCCCCGAAGGGTCTTATGGGAATGTACCAAAAGCAGGTGCAGACATATTTGGAATAGAAGATAAGAGAGAAACTCTGGAGTGGAAGGAGAATGTAAAGCATCCAATTGAATGTAAAAATGTAAGGCTGCGCCCAGAGGTTTTTTTTTTACTTATAATACTATTGCCAGCGGCATTATTACATTTAATGTTTTTAAACTTACCTTAATGTGAAGATTTTTTATGCACGTAAACAAGTAAGAACATTACTCAAAACACTGAGTGTGGGTGATGAAATTAAGCAAACTACATTTATTCAGAAGTTGCAGAACAACCCTATACTGTACCCACTCATAAAGAAGCTTTATTAATCAATGAGGCTTACTCCCAGATTAAACTGCTATGAAAATGCACCCCAAACAATTTAGCCCAGAGGAAAGTCCCAGGGCATTCAGTAGGTCTGTTGTTTCCCTCCAATTAACTGCAGGCACATGCCGATTCAGATTAACAGGAAGGGACCTTGTAGGTCATCTAGTCCGAACTCTGTAGGGGGCATGCATAAGCACACCAATGTGCCTACCATTCCTGTCCTATTGCTTTTTTTTTCTTATTCGTATCCATTTCATGTATTCATAATCATGTCTATACTTATACCTGTTATCTAATAATCGCTTGACAAAATAAAATAGATACAATAAAAATAACCCCTCCCCGCCATGCTCAAGCAGGAGATCTACACAGCTGAAAGTCTGTAGACATTCTCCGTCATCCAGGTCATGGTTGTCCCAAAGAGGAGGCAACTGGACTGTTTTTTTTTTTTCTTTGAAGATATTTCACTTCTCATCCAAGAAGCTTCTCCGGCTCTGACAGGATCGTGGGGAATGGAAAGATTTATGTTCCTTGCAGACAACTGGTCATTGACCTCCTTTTAGAGAGTTGTTGAGGCCACCTGGGTGTTTATCTCTGTCCTTAGGGTCACCTGAATAAGTGCTCCTAGTTCCTGTAGTCTGCAGTTTTTTTTCTCCCTCTGGAAATCTATATCTACTCCCACACTATTCAAAGGATGTTCACCCCAAATTGCATAGCTAAAAAGTCTGTAGAGGTTCTCAGTCATCCAGGCACCAGGAGGCAACTGGATTTTCTTGTTTTGTTTTTTCTTTGAAGACGTTTCGCTTCTCATCCAAGAAGCTTCTTCAGCTCTAACAGGATAGAAACAAACAAACAAACCAACCAACCCAAGAAAGTCCACTTGCCTCCTGCAAAAGCACCTTTGGGACACACAGTTGAAACTTAACACCAGAGCGAGCGAGCACGCCCCAAAGGAGCCAGCCGCCACACGCGAGCCACCTGAAGGTGACAAAACTCTCCCGGAAAGCCGCCGGTTTCTCCTCCGCCAAACACGGGAGCGAGCTGCAGTCGTGGCCGTTTTTCTTTGTGTTGCCGTCCCGAGAGCGCCGAGCCTCTTCCGCGCGCTTCCTCCCCGCACGACGCGTCCTGCCCCTTTAAAAAGACTCCCCCCCCCTCTCCCCGCCGCCGCCGCCGCCGCCGTGAGCTCCAAGAGCGCAAGGGGGCGGGGCGCGTCGCTGAGCGGCGTCTCGCAAGGCCAACGGGCGGCGGGCGAAGAGGCGGGCGTTGCGGGGGTGTCTGTCGGGTTAGAGCGAGGCGTGACCCAGTTGACGCGCGCTGGAAAGGAGAGGGGAGCGGGAAGGAGGCAGAGGTGCAAACAGCCGCCGACGCTGCCACCCCCGCCAGCGGTGCCGTCGCCCAGCCGGGTCAGCGCGTGCTTCTCTGTCGCCCGTGAGCCTGGGGAACCTGCAGCTCAAAGCCGCCGCTAGCCACAGCACCATGTATCCCGGGAACAAGCGGAAAAAGCTCTGGCGGGAGGAGAAAGGTACTGACCTCCTTCACCTGAAAAGCGCCGCCGGGGCTCCTGGGGCGAGCGGGGAGGGTGCGGGGCGGACTCCCCCCCGCCCCAGCGCCGCCTCTCCCACTCGTGTTTCCTTCGCGAGGCGTGCGGGCAGAAAAGGCTGCCCGCTCCTCCTCTCCTCTGCCTTGCTCTCACCTGAGCCGGCGTTGCCTTCCTTCTCGCCTCCGCCGCGTTACCTTGGCAGGACAGCCGCGCTCCTCCCCTTGCTTGCAACGCTTCTCCTCCTGACTTAGCTGGCGCTTCCCCCACCCCCTTCTCGCCGCTGGATGAGGGCTCCTTTCTTCTCCTCCGGACACCGAGTCCGCCTTCAGTGGTGGTGGTGGTGCGAGGATTAGGATGGGACGGCATCCTCTCTGCACAGCCCTCGGCAGCAGCCTGGTTAGGGGGCACCCCCAAAGAAGAGGGGCAGCTTAGGGTAATCCTAACGGGCCCAGGCCTCTCTTGCCACTCAGGTGCTGCGACCTTGGCAAGGGTTCTTGGGTCAAGCCTTACCCAGAAGCGTGTCTAGGACATCCTCCCTGAACGGAGCTGATCAGGGGTGGCGGTGGCTCTCCTCTTTTTTTTTTTTTTTTGCCTAGTTTTGGTTAAGTCTGGCCTGTTTCAGAGTTGGTAACCTTCCTCTGACTTCGTTTCACTGCCTGGTGAATCTTAATGTTTCTTTCTTGGGTACGGATGATTTCCCCTCCTTTTATAAAAGTTATTTTCTTGCTGGGTCATCACCGTTTCTTTCCTCTTAGTCCTGTATGCATTAACCTCGAGAGCAAAGCTGTCAGCTTGGACTATAACTTTTGCCAGAGTTCCGGTTGCAAATTGTGCGCTGACATATCTCAGAGTTCGGGGTGGGAGTTGGTGTGAGTGCCACTTTGGAAATGAAAGTGAGGCTCCTCTGTCTGCTGCCTTGTGAATCTGTTTCAAAATGCTTGGAATGGAAGCTACGGGTCTTTGATCAGTTGCTGGCACCTCTCACGCTGGTGCTGCCTATAGCGAGGGGATTGCAAAACACGTGACAGGACTGCTAAGCCTGGATCTTTGGGCCCTTTGGAAGACAATATTTGCAAAAAAAAAAAAAACCCACAGAAAAACAACAACCATGGCCTTCGTTTGTGTACTGTGTGAAAATTGTGAGAGTTGAAAATATCTATTGGATCAAACTTTACACAGTCCTTCTAAATTTGCGAGGATGGATTGCTTCACTTGGTAAAATATCAAACCTTCTAATGGTGAAGTGGTAATTATCTTTTCCTAATAAAATATTTAATAAACGTTCTTTTATTAAGCTGGAGTGAGATGGGCAGTTTCTAAAATTGACATGCAGTATAACTAAACAAATATTGATAGTGAAGTTTTGGTGTGAGTTTGACATGAAATGTACATTGCTAATTATGCTGCATGGATAATATCAAATACAGGGAAGAATAAAATGACTGATATAAAGATCAAATGTCCATCTATCCATAAGGAGAAAATCCCCCAACTACTGACATATTGTTGCACACAGTATTTATATGTTTGGAATTGACCATCTATCATACCCTTACCTGTAGATTTAGATTAGGCTGTTTGAACTGCATAATATAAACTGGTATATCAGCTTCTCAGAATTTATATTGATTAAACTATAGTATGGATTTCTGTTTGGATTACTTCTAACAGAAACTAGATCTTTGCACTGAGATGTGAAAAAAATCATTTTGTAGTTTGTCACTGGTGCTGTTAAAACTGCTTTAATTTCTTTTAAAATGCATTCTGTACTGCTAAAGTTGAAGCCTCTAACTTCATCACAGAAAAGTATATTTTCAATAATTTGCTGTTTTTCCACATAACAATCTTAAGGAATTCTGTGTGAAATGTATCACTTTACTTAGTAGAAATTTGGTTTGATTCTAAACGTTACAAGAGACAAGAATATAGAAGTGTATGCATTAAATTCTAGGTAAGAATGTTATTACAAGAGATTAAATTGAAATGTGCATACATAAAGTATTATCCAACTTATGAATTATTACTAGTTACTTGCATTAAGTAAATCTTTTCAGATTAATCTTGCCCAGGTCACAAATTTTTTTGTGTTTTATGTATGTTTCTAGTGTGATAAATTTATCTTATAGCTTTGAAGAAAATCTTATCTTGAACGCTAGAGCTTCTTTTAGGATTGCTTTAATAAATAGCTTATTAGTGCTAGAAATGGGATTGCCTGCACAGATAAACAGTATTCATACTTCCATGGCTACTTCCAGATAGATGAATGTCACTGATGATTCAAATTAACTTTTGTATTTTATCAATTCCATAAGTGCTACACATGGATTTAATCACTTTGATACAGTGATGGGGGTCACTATACGTTATTTCTCTAGCAAATATTCAAATGCCTGATACCAATGGAAGATACGTTCTAAATTGTGAGATAACCATTCATAAAATAATTGTTAAAAAAGTTATAACATAATGTAAAGCTTGTGTGATTTGTTAACCATAATATCAAGAACTATCTATTGGTGGCATTGCAAGCAAGGAGTGTTGATTACCATGCTTAAATGGCTTAGAATAATTTATATAATTTTAAAATTGAGTTAATATCTGCTATAGAACAATAACAATAACATGTAAACTAGTTCAAACTGTCAAGTTCAAACAGTGACATACAAACTGTAATATAAAATAGCAAAAAGATATATAAACAGAATAAATGCAATCTTTCTTAAGAACTAAATGTTGCTCTCATCCCTAAACTTTCTCGAATGAATTTAGCCTTAAAGTACTTAGACTTGTTTAACACAACTTATTGAACGTCTGAAATCATATCTGAGTTGTTGAAGTTTTGGTTCACTCCAAGCCTTAATAATTAGGCTGAGTAAAGAAATTAATTGAATCTTTTTGATATCTGATCTTAGTAAACATATATTCCTCAAATGCTTATGTTAGAACTCCATAACTGATTTATGCTACAAAGGAATCTGCTTCATAATTTTGTTAAAACATATTCATGTGTTTTCTGATAGAACGTTTGTTGAAGATGACATTGGAAGAAAGACGTAAAGAATATTTACGGGATTATGTACCCTTGAAAGATATTCCAACATGGAAGGAAGAAATGAAAAACAAAGCCCAAAGTGATGGTAAGCCGTCTTATTAAATTTTTGTCTGCACTTATGTTTTTAAACAGCTTCACCCAGTGTACTGGCTTCTGGGTATATTGAATCAAACATCTCATAATTCGCAGCTGGCTGGTGGAAGAAATTATAATCCAATACATCTAGAGGTGACAAAAGCTGTCTTGTGAAGTTGAACATGATAGAACTACTTACCTTAAACAGATGTAATAGGTTTTGTTACTTAACAGTTTACTGTAGTCTCGGGATCTCCAATTTTATTCAGTTATTGGATACTTGGGGGATTTTGTGGGCACTCTCACAAAACAACTGCTATGAAATCTTGATAAGTTTAAAATAACTGTTGTGAAGGATATATCCAGTTTACCAAAATGACTCTTACCATTACTTCCATGTGTTACCAGTAGACTACTCTTGTTTTCCTTTGTGTACTTTCTGGCAGGCGGCATACTTCCAACCAAAGAAATAAAGCTAATTTTTATTCATTGATCTCTTTATTTTCTAAGAAGACTTTTTATATCAATTTGAAGTATAGCAGCATTCCTGGAAATAAAAATAATGCTGCTAGTGCTTTGCTTTGCATTTTTTACTTAAAATATAAGGTTGGTAGGTTGGCAGCTGGTGGACAGAGGTGTGAATAACTATCACTAACTGTGATTGTAACCCAAATATTGGCAGCTATGAAATGAAACCATGTTTATGAAGTGGTCTCAACTAGTAGCCAATGAAATGACAGCACGTATGTTGCTTTTATGTCAGGACAGGGAGTATATTTGCAAACTTGTTACTGCTTGTTCTTGTAATGTTAACTTTGTTAGAGCTAGTACACTGATTTCACCCTTTTGTCTCTTAATAATATATCCTTGTTTATGCAACTCTACATACTATTAACGATTAATATTATTTACAATTGTTAATGTTCTGTAAAAGTTTCAATTTGGATGGTGCATATTTTTTTGGATGGGGTATAGTAAGTAATTATACTATATAAAGTACATTATTTTATATACATTTTTAAAATCAAAAACAACTCTTCTTGTTTTTACACTTGAGTTATAGATGTAAAAACTTTTAAAAATAACCTAGAGTAAAATAGCTGTAGGAAATAGCAGACAAATCCAAAATGACTCACTATCTGACATACTGTAGTATTTATCAAGTATGGATCAATTTGTTTTATTTTGATTTTATCCTTGACAGTAGAGGAGTTTGCTATCTTAATGGGTTAGGGTGCATACTGAAAACATTATGGCTGTGATAATACTTGGCAAGCCATAAAACAATGAAGAGGGATGAGACTTAGCAAGCAAGATGTCTATGGACCTATGTTGGGATCTGCAGATTTAGTGCATTCAAAAACCTGCAATTTTCATATCAATCTTGTATTCCAGGAAATTATAACTAAAGAAGATTACTCTAAATAGAGAAGCATCAGTTCTGTTTTTGCTTTATCATTTATATGGAAATTGCACAGATACCCAGGACAAGTAGTTCTCATTAGGGAAACTAAGGTTAATACTTGCTGGAGAATCCTACATTTCAGCTGAATAAGTCCCCGGAGTCATGTTTAAGCCTTGTAACCAGATGGACACATCCTTGTTGTATTCTTGGCAATAGAATAAAAGCAGTTTACCATACTGCATCACTTTAATGAATATTACTAGCTACCCAGAGTAACTTTACAGAGTGAGATGGCTGGCGTATAAATTTAATAAATACATAAAATAGAAGATGCTCACATTCAAAAAATTCAGTAAAGAAATTCCTGTTTAGAAAATTAAAATAGCCACCATTTTACTGCTAATTTTTCTCCCCAGCAAGGCCTTTGAGAGGTCCTTGGTGCTCTCTGGGCTTGCTCATTTTTGTGTAGACTTTTCATTACTCAAACTAGGTAACATCATGTTACCAAGTTTGTGTAATGAAATGTCTGCAAGAAAACAAACAAGCTTTGAGAACACTAAGGATCCTCTATGTCAACCTTGAGCTACAAATATTCTCCTTTATTTAAAAGATTATTCCCCCCCCCCTTGATAGATAGATAAATAGACAGACAGACAGACATAGATACAGATATCTGGATTTGTCATTACTTGACTAAATAGATTTTGTCATTACTTGTCTAAATAGAATAATGCTAAAGCTATCATTGCTGTTTAAAGATAATCTATCCTTTCTTCTTAGCCTCTTCAGGACAAGTGCCTAATTACTTTTTGAATTCTGGTTAACTGATCATAGTTATTGACTCCAGTGGCTTCTGCAATTTCAGTAGTATTTGGGAAGAGTAAAAATAAGGCAGGAAGAAAGTGTTCTTTTTAAACAGTTTGGTGTTTTTCTAGTGAATATAGTAACCTCTTCTTTTGGCTTCTCATGATAATCTAATGTTGATATGGCAGTAACCTAGCAACAGTAGTTATTGCTACTAATACTTTATGTGGCCACTAATAGAACTAATAGAACTTGGAGGTCAAAGAAAATGGTAAAGATGCAATACTAACCATACTAAATCATGTTATAAAATGTAGTTTAACAGTCCATGCTGGCTTGATTTGCACACAATGCTAGGCCATCTATGGATTTACATGTGCTTAATCAAAACTAAACAAGCTGTACTATGGCTTATTTTGATGTGTGAATCCAGCTAAATAACACAAATAAATTTTGCTAATTGCTATTTTTTAGTTCTGGAATTGAGGGCTACTTGACATGCTTCAGTTTCCTTATATGAAATGATGGAATTACAAGTCTTCCTCCACCATCCAGTCACAACTGATGAAGCTTCTTTGATGAGAAGCAAAACATCTTCTTCCTCAAGGAAAAAACAGTCCAGTTGCTTGAAAAAAAAAAGCAGACAATTATGAGACAATTATGACCTGATGACTGAGAATCTTCATAGACATTTACAAGTGTACATGTTTACAATCTACATGTAAAGCAGTAGAGTAATTATATGAAGACTTTCTATTCCTTCCTGACAGGTGCTTCTCAAAGCATCAGGTCTTTAGTTGAGAAGACCTCTTTCTCTCTCCCCACCCCATTTTAATATGGTTTTTTACTCCAAAAATTATTGTCAGGTATTTTTAATATTTGTGTGCTTTCCCTGATACTAGCTCTCTTTGTCCAGATTTTAAAACAGCTAGGTTCTAGCTTAAAGCCAACGTCTGTCATATTAGCTTTCTCTGAACTATCAGCATTTTTACCCATCCTTTTAATCCTGGAATGTACAAACTTTGCTTTGAGCGGTTTTCTTTGTGCACGGTTGTTTAGATACGTGGTGAGGATGTGACAGTTATTGCCCACAGTAAACGAACAGTGATATTTGTAGGTCATAGAGACAGACAGCTTTGTTCATGTTTTCCTGTGCAATATGTGGACATTGTTTAAGTTGAGAGCTGTGCAGTTTTTGCCCTTCAAATGTTGAACTCATATGTCGGGCCAAATATCATCAAGCTGTGTTTAGTATTCTAAACCAAAATAAACCAATATGGCTTAATGTGATGGCCTAGTTCATGGGTGCTAAACTTGATGCAGCACGTTGCCGTGACATATCACAATATTTTTTCCCCTTTGCAGAGCTGGGGTGGGCCTGGCCTGCGTGTGACGCATCCGGCCCAAGGGCTGCCATTTTGACACTCCTGGCCTATTCAATATGCTAATAGTGAATGTGATTGATAAACTACTATTCATGGCTTAAAGTGTTGTATGTATGAACAGTCAGCCAGAGACTCTCCATCCAAGTGCTTTATGCTATGCTCAGGCTTCTAAATCTTGATTTGTTTTACATAAATGGCATGCATCCTACTCTGATCATATCAGGGTTTTTTTTTTCCAGAAAACGTACTGTGTTTTATCAAATTTACAACACATCAGTTCTCCCCCCAGCCTCCATAATAGAGCTCAGAATAGTGTATGTATGCGCACTGCCTTTTTCTGTTCTGTCAGTTGGGTCATTAAGCAAAATGGTCACTAAGTGAACATGTGAAAAAGTGATGCTGCAAAGATGATGGCTTCTGCCATCTCATTCAGCTACAGGTAGTTCTTGTGACTAGTTGTATAGTGACCATTCAAAGTTAACATGGGACCTCCGAAAGGTATATGATCCACTTCTGATGGCCACCTTTTCTTTCCACCACTCCCACGCTATGTGACTGCATTGCAGGTGCTTGGCAGCCAGCCTGGATTTACAGCTGTTTGCAGTATTTCGTGGTTATATGACTGATTTATTACATTTTTGCCAAAACCGTGCATTTATTTCTGTGGCATTCACTTAATGACCATGGTAATTTGCTTAATGGTCACTGCACAAAAAGGCATAAAATCAGGTCGGTCATGTCTGCCTTTTGACTGTCATGACTTACTGCCATAATGGGCAGGCTCCATTATGATTGTAAATCAAGGATTACTTGAAAAGTTCTCTTGTTTAATCATGATACCATTACTCTTATTCCAATCTCTGTTGTTAGGTTTCTGATATTTGGTCATAATTGTATTGGTTTTTTGAAAAATGAAGTTTTTATTAATGTTGTGTTTGTGAATGGTCACTTAAATTGAGGAAGTCATTACATGAGGAATGGGTGTGGTAATCTGATATCTCCAGTTTAGATAATTACTACTTTCAAATCAATTTATCTTTAGAATGATTGCTATAATATAGATCATAGGATAGCATCCAATCCTTTCGCTGTAATTTGCTCCTTTACAACTCTTTCATTATTATTTTTTGTTCTGATCTTGCTCAGAATGGAACCATTGCTCTATCTTTCTTCTAGGCCACTCTACTTCACACATGTCTTCTGAATGCTTTCCTTAACTTTTCAGAATTGTATGATGGTGCCAGTTCTCAACCTCAAGGAAGTTGATCAGAAGCAAAAGAAACTTTTATGCAAAAGTATTCTGATTAAATCAGGAAGATGGAAAGATTAACCTGGGTGTCTCAACATAGCGGTTGGCAGGATTATTTAACTATCTTGCTTTTCTGAAAGAATATACGCTGGTAAAGCATACCCTGG